GCAGAGTCAAGAAGACCGGAGGCGGGCGAAGGCGCACGTGGATGGCAGGGGTCGATCCCACACATGGCGCTCCACTCTGCACCCTCTGGTCAACACAGGAAATGACCAGGATCTTAACCAGCAACAACAATGGGAGGGCGCCGGTGTCCGAATGTGCGCGATAATGGGTCTGCCACTGCACCCCAAACCGTTGGCATTTGTTACGGTGTGCATTCCGATAGCACTCTGCCGGTATCTAACATGGCCCCCCGTGGTGGTCCAGCGCATCTACTACCTGACCCGTTTGGTGGACACTGTTTGGGTCTTAGCAACATGGCCACAAACACACCCATGAGTAATTTTTTATTTCTCCCCTGTCAGCGCCGGCACCCTCACAGTGGCGATCCAATAGCATTTGACAGAGTGCATCTGTGTGAACGCAGAAACGACCTCGAACAGCGACCGCGGCGTGCTATCGATTTTTTTAGCAAAGTGCACACGTGCATGCCGACTGGCCGAGCCAAGTCATGTCGACTGCAGAAAAGTCAGCAAATCAAAGCATCAAGACCTTTCGAGAGAGTATTCTTGACATTCAGCCCAAGCTCATATTGGCAGAGGCAACCAGATGTAACATTGCTCAGGGCAAAGTGAAATACGACCAATTCCTGCGCGGTCTAAGCAGCAGTGTGACCAATCCGGTCCTTGATTCTTTGGCCAGTGTAAATGGCCTCCCACGCAGTGCCTTCCTTTATCGTTTCGCGGCCGTCAGCCCCTTCACCACATCAAGGAAGTTGGCTATGGCCTCCTACCTTGAGGGCTTGATCAGCGTACTTGCAGAGAAGACCGAGGAAGGTAGGGAGGGGTCGAGACCACCGTCCACTTCGTGTGAGAAGTACGACGCGTTGCGGCAGCTTCGAGAGATAGCCGCCAGCGATAATTATTCGGTTCAAATGTCCAACTACCTAAAGGCACATCCCGGCGAAATTAACCGCATGATAATTCACATTCTCGACTTCAACCACACAGAAGTGGCCATTGAAGCTTGTTTCACAATTGCATTCCTAGCAAGACGCTTCCATTTCGAACTCTACGAGGGGATGGATTCTCTGATCGCTGCCCTGGTGCGTACGATGGCTGTCGGAATGGTGCCCCTAGAGAGCTACGTGACCCTCTATCGAGAGGAGGCTGATCGACACAAGGATCGCGAAATGCTCAGCAGTCGACCTCTGCCGTTCTACTTTCAGAGGATGCGAGTGGAATTTTCAGAATGCCAACACAGACTGGTTGGCGTGATTTACTACACCATCGCCGACCTCCTATACAGCCTGCCCTGGCCTAAGTTAATCCTCTTTTTTGAGTGTCGGGTCTTTCGCCGTAAGGAAATGACACGCTCCCTCCTCTTCGAAATTCTCGCCAGCATCTGCATGAATCTTCGCGAGCTGCGCAGTGAAGCCGACCGACTTTCCAAGATCACTCCTCTGCCTCCAGCCGAAACTGCTGCGGCTGCCCGCCTCTGGGATGATCTGCCGGCCAATATGTACCTAGAACTTTTAAGAGCCTGTAATGACAAGAACCCCAAGAACAGCGTACTCATAGAGGGTATGATGTCCATTCTGCGTGCTTCTGCGCCCGTCAAGCTGCCCATCTTCGAGGAGGACGCCTTGCGGGTCTTTGAGTACTACTTCCAGGGTACGAACGGAGATAAGGTCCAGTTTGGGCGTCAGTCTGTTGACCAGCATGGAAGAAAGACTGTTCGAAAGGACTCCACTGCTCAGGAGGGTGTCGTTCGGGCCAATCAGGCTTCAGTGCGGAGGTCAGAGAGGAAGAAGAGGTCAGTTGCCAGTCGAGGATTTGATACTGCGGCAGATGGGAAACAGAGAGCACAAAGGAGGGAAGGAGAAGAGGTGGGCTCTGAGGATGGAGAAGGTGAAAAAGAGGTAGAATATGATTACGACGAATCGATCAGCGACGGTAAGGTGGACTTTACAACAACAAGAAAGAGTACCATTCCGGGTCGCCTTCCTGACATCTTTCAGATACACCGGACTTCCAGATGACCTCAACTGCAGTAACAGCAGTTGTTGCTCACACCTGAGCAGAGAGAACCGTTATCCTATACGCAGAGTATAGCAACGCTACCCCCCTATTGGTGAAAGTGGTTCTTATTGTGTGTGTGTGAGTATACTTCTTACACAGATGAAGAGACTTTACTTCTCAAGACTTAGCACAAGCGGCGGTGGGCCGAAGGACTTGCCTGGAGTCTGCTACGCTTAAACGACCCTGCTGGAATTTTAATTTGACGAGACACGTTCCGTCATTGGAGGATCGTAGACGTAGTGGCAAGTGTGCGGATGACAGAAATTGCAGCTCGGTTGGATTTCTGAGAAGCGAAGATGGATCCGCCTAAGTTAAAACAGCAGCGGCTTCCTCATTCTTTATGAGTAGGGACCGGGTCATGCGCATCCGTGGGCCAGTAGCACCTACCGTTCCCACTTGGCTAGGTCAAACACTGTCTCCAGAATTCAGTGCGATTTTCTTCAAAGAAGGGCCCACTTGCGAGCGCCTGCCTCATTCTCTCTGATCGCACTCACCTATTGTTGATGTAAAGGCAAAACCAAGGTCAAATGAGGTGTCACTAGCTAAACTGCCGTCGTCTGTATGTGCAAACAGATCCACGCGAGCCAGTTTTAAAAGGAGAGTGGGGCTCTCAAATCTCACGTATAGTTGATATGCTACCTCATGGAATGTTGGCTGAAATTCTGAAATGCGTTTTGTAATTCGGAAAGATTACCTAAGTAGGGTTGTTATACTAGTTATCAGAGGGGACGCAATATGCGACCAAACTTTGCCCATTAATTATTACTGCCTACTGATTTTTACGAAGTAGCGTTTTTAAATTAAGTGCACTGATTACGTTCTTCAAGGCAACATAAGTCTTCGCTTAAATGTCACATTCAGCTTACTTGCCGGTTGGTATGCACGCTAATTTGGCATACTTTACCTTTGCTGGCCACCTTGACGGCTTCCCTGTGTTCCGCCGTTCTGTATCATTATGTCGTGCCGTCGGGTCAGCGTTCCCACTTTAATCTTATGGGTTCGCCAGCGTCAATCGTCCTTGGATCTCTATTGGCATATTCGCTGCCCTGATCTCTGACCTTGGCGTCTTTTTGTACAGGCGCTATATTTAGCTTCCTTGGGTTTTTTGGTGTCAAACTTCACTAGTACTAACTTTTCAGGTCGCTGTCAAGGTCATGCACGAATCTATTCGAACCTATTCACGGAATTAGATCATTTTACAAAAAACTTTATCCTTTTTCACCTCTCTCTTTCCCATCCATTCGTCCCACCCACATAGCCCTTACTTCCACCAGTCCCGTAAGACACGGTGGCCTATCCTCCTCATTCTGGATGAGGTCGAATATCGCGTAGTAACCTAATGATCTTGTCGCATAATGTTAAGATATACCAGTTACGTCAGGATGCCGGCTTTCGAATAAGCCTCAAATCGACCACTTGCATAAACTTCATTCCGTAGAAAATGGCTACTTAAATAATACGAATTATTTCCACTGTTTTTAATACCCTTATAAATTCAAATATATTTTCTGAAAAAATATACAAAAGTATTCGTTCTTCCACTCATTGGGTAGCAGAGTATGCTTTCTTCAAATTTTGTATCTGAAAAAAGAGTGTCTTTCGGTTTTATAGTGTTCTCCTTTCCTGAATAGTTCTGAGCTTAACCTGCCGTTGCACTTGCATTCAGGGTTCCCAAACTACAATTTGTATACTTTTCGCGCAATAAAAATCATACATTTCTACATACTATTATAAAGTGGGCATATAGGGCTCAAAAAATTTTGAACTGGGTGCGGACCATGTTGCCCACTTTATGCGCGGCACTAATAGATCTGTTGATGCGATGCTGTACGATTGGACATTTCACGGTCTTGAAAAGTGTCACACCAAGAGCCTTTTTTAAAACCGAAAGATAATCTTTCTTCAAGTGCAACATTTGAAGGAGACATGATTTGCTACTACATGTCTGAAAAAAAGTATTTTCGTACATTTTTTGTATAAGTCATATTCAAATTTAAAAAGACATCGAAAATCAATGAGGAAAATTATACTACTCAAGCAGGCATTTTTAGTGGCATGTAGTTCACGTAGACGGTGAGAGTTCTATAAGTGTCAGAGTAAGAAGAAGCCATCGACGCCTTACGTTCAGACCCAAGCGGAAACAAGTTTTATAGTCATTTGGCAGCATCCCGACCCACAACTACTAGCTCCCTGTAGTAGTTTCCACCGTGTCGGATGAATTTTAGTGAGAAATTAGCTGAATCACCATGAAATAGGACGATTGGTAAGATGTGGTTATGTAGCCGCACCTGATAGACACAATACTGTTGGGGTTGGGGTAAAGGGTTAGAGTTAGCGGCTAGGGTCAGGGGATAGTGTTAGGATTGGGGGGTTAGAGTTGGGAGCCAGGGTTAGAGCATAGGGGTTAGGGCAACTACTATTCAACCACTCAAAGTACAACTACGCATCCCAGTAGCTTTTATTTTGCATACAGTTACTTGACCTCGTCGCATGTGCTTTCCGCGGCCCACCTGTTGAAACCCCTATTATCACCGGTCCCGTATTACAGGTGGCTGGGGTTTGTTTGCATCAGGTGCGGCTACATAACCACATCTGACCCTATGAAGGTTAATCATGATTAACACGGTCTCACTCCTCGCAACCTGCCTCGACGCCCCATCCGTCCACTTGTCCGATTAGCATATTTGAGACTTGCGCTCCACAGGGGAGTTAATTAGTACGTCTCTGTCTCGGATGCTAGAGCGCGCTTGCAATAAGACCGCGCTGACCGTCCTTTCGTGGAGTGAAACTCTCTGGGAAGGTACTCAGTAAATAGCATGTTACGGTGAAGATATCCGTCCACCGCAGCACTTTTGCCCTGTAAAACAAACGATCGTCATCTCCATAGTCTCAGCCCGAGGACTTATTATCGTCTAGTGTACGCTAATGGTAAATAAAATCAACTGTATGGTTGTTATGACCCGGAAGAAAGGTTGGACAGGAAGACGGCCGGTTCGGAGGACAAGCACTTTATTGGTGACTTGCGGACACTAGGGGTTACAACTCGTAAGAAAGATGTGCTATTTATATTGGCTCCTGTGCGTTCTGGAATATTCCGTCCAATGACGTGCCCGCCGTGACGGACGTTCTAGAATGTTCCTGCCCGGAGCGTGCTTGTCGCTGATTGGCCACCGCGTGCGCGATAGCCCTCCCCCCGTGGAAACGTCTGGAATGTTCGACCAGCCGTTGATTGGGCCGCACACGTGAGCAAAGCCACCACACGTGCTCGGCGCTGCAGTGCACGCCGATCGGCCGTCTAACTTCCCGCGTGTCTCATGCCGCCGGCTTGGTCCCCTGTTCAGCGCCTTAGGCCGTGGCTCTACGCCGCTTGCACTCTCCATAACAAAGGCGAATTACATCAATAGTAGTGAAAATGCGATTCCCAGGTGGCATATCAAAAGAAGTGGGGGCGTTCACCGGGAGGGGTCTATTTGAGGTGCGACGTTTCGAGTGGTTTATTCGTCTACCCATCTTCAGAGACTGGGATGGCGGCATGGGCGGATCACTCATTGGACAAAGGGCGCCATTATAAGGGGAGCTGTACACAGGACTTCCCAGTCTCTGAAGATGGGTAGACGAATAAACTACTCGAAACGTCGGACCTCAAATAAACCCCTCCCGGTGAACGTCCCCTCTTCTGTCTAAAGGTGACTTAAGAATAAGCCATTGGAGCCTTACGTTCAGACCCGAGTGGAACCAAGTTATATAGTTATTTGGCAGCGTACTGACCCACGACTACTAGCTCATTGTAGTGATTTCCATTGCGTAAGGTTTATTTTAGTGAGAAATTCTCTGAATCGCCATGAAACAGAGCAGCGCTGTGTCGACGCCATTCCACTTCCTATTCAGCAGTTTCCTGTCCACTTCAGACCGACCACTGATGATGGGCAGTGGGTTGCGTGGAGTGAGAATCCATCTACTGCGTGTCGCACGCATGCAGCGGGGGGGGTTGCTTGAAGACAAAGGTTAATTCAGTGAAACCGAAACCTGTGCATCTCTTGGAGCCATGTACAGTAGGTGGGCTAACTCATAAAAGGCCAACCGAAATTCCGAAATGCGTTTTCCTTTCGAATTGATTATTTTAGTACGGTTGAAAAACTAATTATCATGAAGCATTATTCTGTAGTAATTCAGTTACCTCATGATGCCGGCTTTCGAATGAACTTCTTTTCGGCTGCATGTGGAAACTATACTGCAAAAATGACTACTAACGTAGCATGCATTTTTTTCTTTGATTTTCGATGCCCCTAAAGAGTCGATTTATATTTCATGGAAAACATGCATGAAAATATTCTTTGTTTTGCTCATTCAGTGGGAAATTGCGTCTTCTTTCAGTTTTATTATCAAAGGAAGGGTATAATTTGGTTTTCAAATTGGTTTTCCTAATTTCCGAATAATTTTGAACCCCGACCTGCCGTTACACTTTCATTTAGGGTTTTCAAACTACAAGCCGTATATTTTCTGAGTACGGAAAATTACACATTTATTTACGGTAATAAAGGGGAACCACATATAGATCACAAAATTAAGCAGTGGATTTGATCCATATTATTAACTTTAAAAGCCACATTGGTAAATGCAGAGACATGACATTTTAGGCACGACCACTTACCGGTATTAAAAAATCTCGCAATTATAAACTTGTTTTAAAGTTGAATTATAACCTTTCATCGAGTACAAAATTGGAAGCAAACGTAGCTTTCTAAACCGAAAATGTTGACGCGCAGTAATGTACATATTCGGTATGTCAAAAGACTTCGCTAGACCGATGACGAATTGGGGATTGGCGTCGCTCACAAACCGCCAGCAACTCATTCGCCCTAAGGACCCGATTCCCATCAATCAGAAATTGGAGGTCCTTTACCGAATAAACTGAAATTGTGATCACGCCGGTTATGTTAGAGAGACCGGCAAACCTGTT